CACTCCTGGGTGCTTCATGCTCTGTTTTAAGTGACTCACGTACTTTGTAAGCACCCAAGATCTAGTGAAGTCAGATCGTTTGAAACCTGCCCAGCCCCATCTCTTACTGGCAGAGTCACTCTCATAAATCTCTTTAATCTCGTAGGAAAGTTAGGGTGGCTTAACATGTTAATTTTTTATGGCCGTTTCTCCTGTTAGCCTTTGGGCCACTTAAAGGTTGGAACTTAGCCTCCTGCATCTCAGTAGCCTGCTTAGTGCCCAGGCCGGAGCCGAGGCCCAGTTTGTCTGCCTGCAATAATTTGTGTGAGTAGCTTCTACACGGCCTGGGTATGGACTAGTTGTTTAGTAAATGTTACCTGTTATTATTCTCTGTGCCATTTGTCTACTCGTATGCCTCTGTAGCGAAGTTTTAAAACTCTATTCTTATAATAGTCATCCGTTTTGTGACTGCCCGTGTTGGAATCCCTAAATTGTGCTGATTTTTCATGAGTGGACTTAGCCCCTGGGCTTCAGAAACTTCTCTTCACATACAGATCAAGTAAGCCTCCCCCACCTTGGGATTCCTTTAGTGTCCCTAGTAGAGTTGACTTTTGTACCCTCATTATGCTCTTTGTACCCTCATTATGCTCCACACATATATCAGTTATCACCCTGCAACAACTGTGGTGCACTCGTTCTTGTGACTGTCTTATAGTACCACGCACCTCGGGAGGGCCAAGTACTGTGATGTATTCACCTCGAGAATCCCATTGTCTGACACTGGGAATTCCCTTGAAATGAAATGATATGACCACTCCAGTGGTTGCTGATAAAGACGGTGGAAGTGTTAGAAATGGGGGGACCCTGCTTTGGAGAATAACCTCTCCTCTGTGTCCTGCAGATGTGAGGCATGGGGTTGGGGCTCCTGAGGGCTAGCTGCCCAGTTGGGGGGAACGTTTATGCTTTTTTGCATCCCCTGAAGGGAACCTGTGGTTGTTCTCTTTTGGGATCAAAGACTAGATTTGACTGGCATCACCCCCCATAATACTACAAGTTGGTAGGCAAGAAAGAAAAAGCCACTGGGTTTTCTAAATGCCATCTCAGTGCCTTTCAAAAAAATAAACAGGACATTCCCAGCTCCTAGTTTTTAGCTGTTTGTGGTCATCATCCACATAATCGGAACTGGAAGCCCTCTGCATGCCACAGGCAAAGAAAGAAAG